ATATAATTGATATTTTGTTGTCGATTTTTATGACATTCGCTTTAATGTTTTACAAATCATGAAGCTGTATATTAATATAGAAAGAGAAAAAAAAAATATCTATTTCACCATTTATCTTTATATGAGTGAATAAAAAGTCGTAAATGATGATTGTTATCAAAAGAAGCCTTATAATATCACTTTTTTTTCTCTGTAGCACATGTCAAACCTGTGAGATAATGCCTAATATATTGTGACAGTTACCGTCTTCATTGAAACGTCTCATTGCACATAAAACTTATGAATAGATATATAAGAAAGCATGGCGTTTTTATAATAAATTTAATTACTCTCTAACTTAGTAATAAAAACAGACAACAAGAAAAGAAGAATATGTGTGACTCATCGGGACAGCTTTATTACTTTTCGAGACTGTTTGTGACCTCGAGTGATAATTTTTGCCTTGAGCAACAAATCTATCTTGAGCAGTCGCTCAATACAAGTGCAAATCGAATCAATAATCTTATAATTAAAGATATAAATCTTTTCATACAATTCAAACATTATTAACATAAAAGAAGAAATAGCAATATACACACACATACACAAGAAACAATTATCTATCATTGAATTGAACTAATGTCTACATCGAAATCAAAATCAAAATCAAAATCACTTTCTTTTGATTCATCAAAAAGATCCAGATCACCTAAATATTGTTCCAAAAATAAAGTAATATCTTGACTATCATTTAATAATAATTCATCCATAGGATTATTAAGGCAATTATTTACTTTCTCTTGTAAATGTTGTTTTCTTTGTTGAAGTTGTTGAAGATATTCTTGTAACTTTGCATGTTCACCTTGAAGTTCTTTGAGTTTTTGATTAAGTTCATCTTCGATACATTGTCGTCTTTCTTTCAATTTTCGTGCTGCCTCTCGATTTTTTTCACGACGTTTTTCACGTTTAATAGCTTCTTCACCAGCTAGAACAAGATGTTTTGGTCGACGACCAGTTGCTATTGTTGGAGCTGGTCTCCGACAAAGACGAATTTGAATTGGTCCATATTGAACTGTATTGTTTGCTGATAATGGTGATGGTGATGGTGATGGTGAAGATATTTCACTTTCATTTGAATACGTTGATGTATTAGAATGTTGTGTTGTGTATGAAGGAGACTCGTTGCTTGTCATCATGATAACCAGGTATTAAAAAGAATGTAATGTGTAAGAAAGCTTAATACACATATTTCTTGATATATAATTATATATATATACATATTTTCTGTGTTAACATGACCTTATCCTTGATCCAAGTAACATCGAAAATAAAAGAGTAGAAATCAAATTACACTGACATACACAGCATACGACAACCAATAATGTGTTCGAATATATATGAAAGATAGATAAATAATCAGTCCATGTCAAATGGAAAATTCGTTTTTGATACTTGTCAATAAAGACAGGCATCGTGAAACTAGGTGTTATATGGAGGTTTACCTGCAAGAAAAAATTCAAAATTATTCATTATTAGTCAGCAAGATGAATAAAACATTTTAACATGCGATAGTATTTCTGTGAAACATTTTCACATACAATTTTTCAACCCCACCCAATTTTGTAACTTCCACACAAGGTCTGAATACATATAATTAGATTAAATATATCATTTAATTATCATGTATGCAAAAATATTCTTAATAATGAAGAGAAACTTTTGACATTGAATAGTTATACATATTACATAGATTTTTTTTTCTGTTGATTAATATTTTATAATCAATTTGAGCATATTATTATAAGAGAAGAATAATGGTCCAATTTCCTACTGAGATAAATAGTTATGCATAGCAAAATAAAACAATACTATGCATGTGTCTATTGTTGACAAGAACTCTGACTTTTTGTGAGCATTTATAACTACAATATACATTAGAAGTTTGTAAGAAAATTAATAATTATTTAATTCTTCTAAGTACTCATTCATAATTAAAAAGAAAGATTTCTTTTTTAAATGATAAAATTTATTAAAAATATTTTTGCCCACAATTCGTGGAAATAATAACCAAAATAAATTTTATTTGTCATAAATACAATTATGACATTTATTTATATTTTCGATATATTCCGATGTAATTTTAAATAAAATACAAAAATGTCACAAAATAATTAAGACAAATCGACATGACCAATCTCATTTGACATAGATTTTTATCTTTTTACCGTGATGCATACGAGATAGTATTATAATGTCCTTGTTCCAGCATTTTCTCTTTATGTTAATTTTATAAATAGAGTAAAAATAACAGTCGGTGATATATATACAAAAAAGAAAACATCTATTATAGTCGATTGACTTTTTTGTTTTTGTTTTCATTGATATTATTTAAAAGAATTGAACAAAGTGTTGAATAATATTGAAATGAGAGAATATAGTTTATATATTTATCATTATATGTACGATGAATAAATATCTCACTGGAAGTTGTAATTGAAGTCAATAGCTATGCTGTACAAAGTATTGAGAAGAAAGTTACTATTCTAGTGAAATCTAATTGTGTTGAATTTTGATTTTGATAAAGACAGTGTATGATATTTTCAATTCATTTCTTTTTTATTGTGTTTTCAAAACATATAATAGTTTTTAATAGAGAGAAGCAACAAATCCGAAATTTTGTGAGAATAAAAGTTTTTGGAACAGTTCAATTCTATTCAAACGAATCACTATTAAATCCTAGACTATTTGAAGATATTTGTTCAAATTCAGATATAAATCCAAACCTAAGTCACGAATCAAAATCCAAAAAGAAAGGCTTTGCTTCCTATTTTATAATCTATTTCGGATTTGTTGTACCCATAGTTCAATAAGACGAAGGTAATACTTGTAGAATTTATTGAATATTTGTCTGTTATTTCTGTTTAATTATCATACGTGTAAGACTGAACAAGAAAAATTATGTTTGTGTGTCTGTCTGTCTATGAATCAAACATGATTGTATCTAGTTTAGTCTAATAAAAATCAATGTCATTGTTAAAACGTTATTATTTATCAATAAAGAAACAAAATCAATAACAAAAAAAAACACTTTTTTTTGGAATTCACGTGTGTTCTTTAGCTTCATTATACTAATATGAATTAGGTAAAGTAAAAAATGCCTCGCAGGCTATAGTTGTTATCCAAGATAATCGATTGCTAAAGAAATGATTAGTTCTATTTTTTTCTGCATTTTGAACAGAAATCTTTTCTAATTTTTATTGGTGCTCTATTTTTTGTTGATCATGGGATGCTATCCGCTCGTTATTTATCTTTTTCGCTTTCCTTTTCTCATAATTTAACATTACTACTATTCTAATCATTGATTTAGTTGGCAAATAAGCCTGTGGTACATATCCATTATGTTCACAGCAGGTCTTAATACACTATTATATATCTTGATAAGCTCAAAAATACTGATATTGATTATTTTCTAAAGTTACAACTTGATCAGTTCGTGCTTTTTTACTTTGATCATATAACAACTGTAGTAAACCAATGCATCACTACCTATCATCGTTAATATCTTAAATATAAATTTTTCTCTACGCAGAAATCAAAAACTACGTTATTTAAAACATTCACAAACGTATTCTAGCCATTCAAATTTCGAAGAAGGCTTTGAAATGTTCTAGAATTCTCTATAACAGTCAAGTCTTGTCTTTAATATCATTCATTGACTTTTTTCCATCACTAAGGAACTCTAGGAAAAGAGTCTAATACCTGTTGTCCTCACTGACTAAGACCTGTAATGGGAAGAAGAAAGCTGCAAAACTTTAACTGAAAACTTACATTCACTATTTTCTTCGAAAATATGTTAGTTCCACAAAAATATAATGAATGTAAGTTTTAAGGAGAGATTTTGTGGCTTTCACTCAGTCTCCTTCTCTCATTCATAGCAACATGAGAGATAAGACGTAAAAAGGTGGACAAAGTACTGAATGATATTAACGAAAAGACTTAGAATGTTCTAGAAAATTCTAAAACATTCCAAAGCCATTCCTCGAAACTTGAATGGCTGAACTACATTTGTCAATGTTCTAAATAATGCAGTTTTTGAATTTTTTTGCAGATGAAAGTTTATATTCAAGATGTCAACAATGATAGGAAGCGCTGCATTGGTCTGCCGCAGTTATCATATGATCAACATAACAAAGCGTGAATTGATTAAGATATGACTTTGAAAAATAATCAATATCAGTATTTTTGAACTTATTGAGATAATTAATAGTGTGATGAGATCTGGTGTAGATATAATGGATATAGAGAACACACTTATTTTGCCAATTAAATCAATGATTAGAAAAATAATAATGTTGAATTAAGAAAAACGAAGTACAAAAATGGAAAACAACGAAAGATATATCGTTTCTCTGAAAATTAAGGAAGATTCTGGAATGTTCGAGAACATTCTAAACCTTGTTATTAATGTCGTTCAGTACTTTTAATCCTGGTCACTAAGATCTGTAATGAAGAGAGAGCAGCAAAACTTTGACTTAAGACTTAAATTCACTATTTTCTTCAAAAATATGCGTCAGTTCCATAAAAAGAACTAGCAATATCATCAAAAATTCTAGTCTTTAGCTAGAAAACAGACATTATTTTCAAATAAAAATAATCTAAAGGCTATCTTAATTCGTACTGTTCTGAAGGTATTATAGTCAATAATTTATTTGTTTTATAATGGGTGGGACAAAGAAAATGTCGTCGATATGCAAAAAAATTTTCTCTTATGTTAAACTTGACCAGACGAGTTCAAAAAATAATTCTAGGCTATTCTTTTGTAATAATAAGAAACATTAAAAGATACAAAACCTTGAGTGTTGAAATAAAAAAAATCAGAAAAACTCAAATTACTATATCCTCCCTTCAAGTTGTTCAAAAGAAAGTGGTTTCAAGATTTAAAAAATGTTGAATTTTTTGGATTATCCATGTGTATGTTAATGCATTATATGCTCACTTCTTATTGCTTTGAAATAGGAGAAAAGTAAATACGTATTTATGGCTGGTGAGATGATATCTTACTTTTCAGATTTTCTTCAAACCTTGAATTCGAAAAGTAATTGTTGTTATATCAGAAGATCGAAAATTTCACGTTCTAAAAATTAAATCTTTTTGTGCGGTTTTCATCAGATCAGTCGCAGATGACAGAGGTGAGTAGTTGGGATTTTTTTATACATCTAGTGATTTGAATACATTTTAAAGACGATCAAAGTAGATCTTGATATAAAAATAACACTCAAAACTACAAAAAATTCAGAATCTTTCAAGCTTCGAATGAAGCTTTGGAAGTTGATTAGACTGATCAAATGAAGATTTACAAAGTAGTACCATGTTTTCTGCCCAAACCATTATATAATCGAAGATTTAATTACAACCTTAGATAAACAAAAATTAATAATGAAAGTTTATATAGCATCAGTGTTTTTAAAAAATATTCAAGTCATAGGACGATCCGTTCAAACGTGACGGAATCGCATTTTTTCATTCTGTCTTTTCAATATTTCGAGGAAATGAAATCGATTAAAGCAGAAATATTCATAGGTTATGTGAGTCGAGTTCTTCTACACATGCTACAAAATTTTGTCAGATTTCAAGTTTTCGTACCTATTTTATGATTGAAAATTAGGCACGTGACAAAATCATCAAAAATAGACTTGAATTTCGAGTGTTGTTCAACAAATTAAAAAAATTTAGCTCAACTACAGAAATAATGAAAAAACTTTCTTCAGAAAAACTATAGTTTAGATAACAAGCTATTTGTAAAAAAAGAAAAGAAAATTTGAAAAATATGCAACGCTAATTTTCGAGGCAGAAAAAACCCATTGTGACGGAATCTTGTTTGAGAAATAATGATTTTTTTTTTCAAAATTATTTTCTTCGAAAAGTTGCACAAGTAGTTTATCACAGTTAAAAACTAGTATTACAGAAAGAGAGGTAAGTAAAAGAATCAGTTTAAAACATCTTTCTAATAATATAAATGTTCTAATTTAAAAGTATAAAACGTAAATAAAATCTAAAATCTTATGCATATATTTCTTCACATGTTGAATAACGAGTATATTGAATTGGGGATATCACAGTGACGATTCACATATCCATTACTAGACAAGGTCAGCTATCGTTATCGATATTAAGTAACTGGTAAACTAGCATTTGTGAGCTTAATATTTCGATCAGAAGTAGACTATTATGTGACAATAACGATTTTTGTACAAAGACTGAAAATCAGAGAATCCAATTCTATGTGATTTCTTAAAATTTTTGAATTTGATCTTTTTGGAAAGTCACTCAAAGATTTAGATTTTATGGTCTCAAACATCTCTAATCAAAGCTCATGATAAATTGTTATTTTCTCAAAATAGGCTTTCTCTGACCGAAAAATCAACCTAACAGAATTTTTGTGACTTGTCACAGAGCAATTGACCAGTATTGGTAACTTCCCTCGTCTATTTACGACTGATTCGTGTACTAATGCTACTTATATAACTACCCAACTGATAACATTTTTTTCACGATTTTCTATGAAATTAAATAACTCTTTTTTTGGTTGTTTTTTCAAATAATCAGTTTATTTGGGTTAAATTGTAGTGACTGTGTGAAGAAATATCATCTCTCACTACATCGATAGAACAGCAAATCAATACCCGTTTTTTCATTAGAAGAATTGGAGAATATGCTGAATAGAAAAAGAACGATCTACAAGAGAATTAATTACATAATATTTGTTTCTCTTTATATGCCAGTTACAATTATGCTTACAATGGAACCGTGCAATTTTAAAAGTCACGCAATTACAATAATTGCAAAAGATTAGCAGAAAAAAAAGAAAAATACAAAAAGTACAAAATGTCGAAAAGCTCGCCGTGAAAATAAAACTTAAATATATTTTAATTAGTTACAGTGATTCTTTTTTCAATATTATGATAGTATATTCCTTGACGTATTATTCTATATATTTTCAGAAAAATTTCTGTAACCACAAACAAACGAATACATAGAGTTTTATTAATGACCAAATTTGAGTCACTTAATCGTTTGAAAATGATAAACGCAAGTTGGATTTGGTATATAAACGCTTGACCTGAGATATTTTTTAATCCTTTTGTTAAACTAGCACATTAGAAAATCGACAAAATTATGAAAGACTTTCAGAAATTACAAAAGAAAAAATCGACATACTTCATGATACTTGTGAAAATAAGTCATTGTCGTATGTTTGCACTGTTGCAACAGTCTATTTCATTCTACACACAATAACACATCGAATAATGACTAAATATCGTCTGATCAAGCTATAATTTGTCGAATAACTTCACAAATAAAATTCAGAAGATCGAGCTGAAATTATCAAAACGTTAATATCAATGTTAGCGAATATTAGTCATTAGGAGAATTCGTTTTTTACTGACAAAACCGGTTTTTTTCCGTTAAATAATTTATCCATAGATATAAAGTGAAAACGAATCTTTACAAGACATTTATAATGATTCAGTCAAATTCAACATAAGAATCAATAATAGAAATAAATTAATTCAAAAAATAAACTTTCTTCGGTATTTTTTTTTCAAATATTTTTGAAAAGAATGAATTTACATATTTCAGATGGTAATATAATTATTTTAAATATTTGTTATAAACCAAATTATATTAAATGAAAAACTTTAAAGAACATGTACGTAATAACATTAAAAACAAAATATTCAAATCGTTTGAATTATTTAATAGATATTCAAATTGTTTTTCATGGCCGACTTTCTCGTTGGTTCTTGTAAGCCGCATAAATATTATATTTTAAATTTCATTTAAAAAAGCTTTATCAGTGTAGCCATTTGGAGCCTAAAATGTGGAATTCATATGTGTTCTTGAACGTTATTATATTTAATACAAAAGGCATTAAGTGAAAAATCTCTAGTATACTATAGTTGTTTTCTAAGGACGATTAGTTAACTTAAATGGCTGGAGTAGGTTTTTCAATATTCGAAATAAAGCAGTTTTTGATTTTTACGCAGATAAACGATTCCATAATAGATATCAAGGATGATGTTTTGATTCTCCATAACTGTCGTATGACCAACATAAAACTATGAATTGACTAAGTTCTAACTTTCGAAAATAACCAATATCAATGTTTCTAAGTTCCCCAAGGTACATAATAAATCGTTAAGATCTACTTTAAATATAACGAATGTGTACAATAGGCTTATTTATCTATCAAATCGATGATTATAGTAATAAGCCAGTCAAAAAAAAACAAAATTTCTGTTCAAAATGTAGAAATAAAAAAAAAGACGTCGCGTTTGCTGACAATCGATTATCGCTGAGACAAAACTATCGTCCTCTAGAGATCTTACACATTGCCTATTTTGTATTAGTATAATATAGCTATAAAAGATATGTGAGATTCACATATCAACTCCAAAAAGGCTGCGCTAACAAGCTTTTTCAATATTGTTATTCATTTTTTTCAATAGAGCTGCTCTTTGATTGATAGCTATATGTACCTGATATCTCTAATTAAAATAATTTTATAAATCAATAATGAAATTTATGAATTTCTCAATAGACAAAGGAAATCTCGTAAAAAATTATAGAAATATAATATATTCTTAGAAAATTTTGGTAGAGTTAACATATTGAACAGAACTAATGTTATTTTACTGGAAATAAAATTGAATCTCTTAGCTATAGATTTAACTGAATGATTTGATGTTCGGTACAATAATAAAATAGTGTTTACAATGAAAATTTTCAAGATAAAGAATCTTTAAAAAATAACTTTTAATTCTGATAAGAATATTTAATTTTCTTACCAGCCAAATACAGTCATTTTACTACAGTAAACTATCAATAACTGAAACCAACTATTTAGCTGTTACATCTTAGTCTTATTAATATTAAAATCAATAAAAAATTATGAAAGACATTCTATATTAAATAAAATTAATCAATATTTACAATTTAATATATATATATATAAACTTTATGAATAGAAAACATTACGAATCTTTAAGAGGTCTCTCGAAAATGGAATTTTTTTCGAATATTCAATCTTGATGAAAATTTTCAGTGGAGCTGTATCTCGAGTTAGGCACCTCACAGTAAAAATTTCAGTTCGATACATTAAACCTACGAAGAGTTAGCTTAAGATTATGGGTCAAAATTTAGGTGTCCGCGCGTCCCAAAGTTCTCTCCTTCATTTCAAATGCTAGAAATTTCGTGTTAGTTTTAAAACGTATCCAACATGCGATACTACAACTTAACAGCGCCCAATTTTTCGATTTTCTTCTAGCTTGCGTTTTTAGAAAACTTCTCTGATAAAATACGGAAAACCCAGTGAGCGGTAGACCTAGAACAGTTAGTTTTTAATAAAAACAAATGAGGAAATCGAAAAAATCCAGCTCTGATAAGTTGTAGAGCTAATCTTTGCCTTCATTTTGATACCAAGCTCAGCTTTCTAGTGTTTGAAGTGGTGGAGAAATTTGAGACGTACGGAAACGTCAAAATAAAAAACTCTATTGTGAGAAAAATGCAAACTAAGTTTTAACACTCAAAATCAAGACTTTTTTCTCCATAAACTGATATGAAAAAGATCTTCGAGTAATTTGACATGCATCAACGATTAGAACGAATCAAATGATCACACATAAAAATGTACAAGAGAATTTTTTTCTCATTTTCATATGGATATATTACGTCCGTCAAGATATCAACAAAAAAAAACTCCTCATTATGATTGAGAATGTGATACAGAAAAGTTTATTAAAAGCAAAAAAGTAAACAGTGATTCATAGCCTATGTTGCATTGGTGGAATAATATTGAAAAATCCTTGGATGTCTATTCTACCAACGTAGACACAGTCATGAATCAATGTTTATTACTTTCATTTTATTCTATGGTTCTTCATGTTCGAATGTTATATTCACTTATCATAGTTAGTGATGCATGATAGCGACAGTTGACATTTTGCTCTACCTGACGAGGTATAAATCACAAAATCGGTAAATTTTACCAAAATTACCTGTTTTTGAGGGAAGAGACTCCTTGATTTTTTTTTACAAATCCTCAAAAAAAACCACATATTATCATTTTCTTTCAATTAGCTGATTCTTTTTTATGAGGAGAAATCAATTAGAAACCATATACTTCATATATTAATTTCAACGAGAAAAAAACCTTATGTAAAAATATATTTCTATATAATCAAACGATAGTATAACTCGATAGTTTAATAGTATGAAAATTGATTTGATTATATTTATTTTTGTTCTTTTTTTTTCTATTTAGAAAAGAAAATTAAAGTTACATATAATATAATGTTTAGTTTTTTTTAAACATTTTTTGTCAATAAATATAAATATTTCATTCAAATAGTTAGTTTATGTTTCTATACAAGTCAATGGTAAATCAAGTTATAATTATTCTTTAAAAAACACCTTTTAATATTACATTTTTTTTTTCTTTCGATTTTCTCATTTCACCGCCTATCAAATAAGTAATGTCGTCAATAATATATTTTGACAGTTACCGTCCACATTTAGCTCAATACAGATGTAAAGAAAAAATGCGCAAGTAAACATAAAATACAGTATTGAAATCCTATTGACTTTAGTTTCTATCTGATTTATTAATGAAAAGAAGAGAAGGAAAAAAAAAAAAGACAGATCATTTCATTGATAAAAATGCGTAATATTATGAAGGTTTATACGGTAAACAAAAAATATTACCTGGTTGGACATTTTTCTTTGACGCAAATATCATGTGTGCATGTAAAAATTGCACCGGTTTTTTTTTTCAAGATAGTTACAGGTTCTTATTTCATACAGTACAGATATCATTATCAAAAAAAAGAAAAATTAATTATCTATAATTGAATTAAAATTAATGTCTAAGTCAGAAGTTAAAAAATTTTCTAATGGTTCATCAATAAAATCCGAATCATGTAAATATTGTTCAAAAAATAAAGTAACATGTTGATTATTATTTGATAATAATTTATCAATAGGATCATTAAGACAATTATTAATTTCTTGTTGTAAATCTTGTTTTCTTTGTCGAAGTTGGTGAAGATATTCTTGTAACTTTGCATGTTCACCTTGAAGTTCTTTGAGTTGTTGAATTAGTTCATCTTCGATACATTGTCGTCTTTCTTTTAATTTTCGTGCTGCTTCTCGATTTCTTTCACGTCGTCTGTCACGTTTAATAGCTTCTTCACCAGCTAGAACAAGATGTTTTGGTCGACGACCAGTTGCTATTGTTGGAGCTGGTCTCCGACAAACACGTATATGAAGTGGTCCATATTGTATTTCATCTCTGGATGATTTTTTTGAACATATTTTATTCTCATTTGAATGCGTTGATGTACTAGAATGTTGTGTTGTGTATGAAGGAGTCTTGTTACTTGTCATCATCGTAGACAGATATTAGAAATAATATCACCTGTATGGGAATCACGCATATATTCCTGTATATGTGTATATATATATATGTATATGTATATATATTAGTGGTTTTCGATGTTAATTTGACCGTGTCCTTGATTAGTGCAGGGGCGAGAATGATGTGAAGGAGAATCGCCCTAGTTATACAAATGTATATGCAGACGAATATATAGGTTCTAATCAAACATTTTTTTTTCTTTCTAATTAACGATAATTAGTTCATGCGAACTGAATCAAACGTGTGATGTTTGTTAATAAAGGTAGAGTCCAATTATGATTCATTTCTTTTTCAAAAGTAATAGGTATATGTACAGTTGAGATAAACTAATGATGCACATGTTTTATACATAAAAATATTTTGTTTATAGTAAATCAACATTTTGTATTCTTAGTTAATATTATTGGTTGAATTGAAATGTATGTTTTTTATATTTCTGTTTTACATGTAAGTTATGATAATTGTCATCAAAGTTTATTGTGTAGTAAATATTAATATTCATTCATTGACATATTATCTCTTTTGATTGTGTTTAATAGGAGAATAAAGGTAATAGTTTGATGAGCATGCAAAAGAAAAGAATAATCATATGAGGTGAGAATAGGTTGTACAAACAAAATCGTGATAGTTTACTATACTACAGATATATATATAATATATATATATATATATATATATGTGTGTGTGTTTTGATCATATACAAAGAAACAAACAAAATATTCTTTTATCACAATGAATCGTTTTGTTTTTGTCTTTTTTTTTTTTGTTTTTCACTGGTACTTTTAGAGTGGCATTTGAGTAAAGAGATAGGAAACAGATTCACCATTATGTGTACGACGAATTGCTTCCGAAAACATCATTGATACATCAATTACCTAAAAATATAGAAAAATTTATTCTTTTAAATTATTAGAATCAAGTTCTTAATTATAGGTTTTAAAAGACACAAAAAAAAAACAGATTTTATGATCATTAATATTGTTTGAAAAAGTGTAACAGAAATTTTCAGCACTTATGTATTCAGTTTAGTATCAAATAAAATGAATTATAGGATGTGTAAAAAAGAAACATATTTTTCCAGAGGGAGTAATACTTTGATTTCAAATAATTTCAACAACAAATTTTATACGAAATTAAAGTGCGTCGAAAATAGGATTTAACAATACTAAATAGTAAACGTTAAGGGAACTTTTCAATATCGAATTTAGAAAATTCCTTTCGTGAGATAATTCAAATTAGATCTCATTTAAAATTATGAATATCAAAAAAAGTCGTATTTATTTCTTAAGATTTGATGAACATAATCAATAATCAGTATGACAATTATTAGCCGTTTTTTTTACAGCAGAAAGATGAGATGGATATGCACATAAAATAATTTCGAATAGTTCAATGTTTGTCAAAATATATGAAGTATGTTTCTTTTTTAGACTTTCTTCATCAAAACGATTTTGTTTCATGTCTGATAGTCATTCTTTTTCAGTTTCATTTTTGATTATTATTTCAATATTTCTAGGCCATGTATTCAGTACTTTTTTGATATTCATCATGTTAAATGAGATTCGGTTTGAACTGTCTCACGAATACTATTTAGACTTGGTGAATCCTATTTTCGACGAGCTTTAATTTGATATAAAATTTATTATAGACGTTATTTGAAATCACTGCGTTATCATCCTGGAGAAATATTTCTACTCACCCTGTAGTATAAGAATTCATTCTTCGAGATTATGGCTCTGTTCTGATAGAGTTAAAACGTCTTAAATGGTATCAAATAAATCAAGCAATGTTTTGTCTCTTCTTGTCCTCAGAGTATAAGTCAAACAATAGACACGGTTAACAACTTATTTTTTTTTCATTTAAGATAAATAATAATTCGAATATTGTTCTAGATTTAGATTCTTCTTGATATTTAACACCATCTTATTTTTTTTTTCTTATATAGAAATAATACTTGAATTTTATTTGAATTTTTCATATTTGCTTCTTGTGGAATTGTATTTGTAACAACAACAGCTTCAAATGGTGAATTATTAATTCTTGATATAGCTGGGCCACTAAAAATTCCATGTGTACATATTGCATAGACTTTACTTGCACCTGCACTCAATAATCTATTAAATTTAAAAAAAGTCAATCAAAAATAAAAATCTGTAAAAAATCTCAAATTTACTTTTGTGATGCACATTCAAATGTTCCACATGTATCTATAAACAAAAAAGAAATATTCAATTTTATAAATTTAAAATTATATTAAATAAAAATCTACCAGCCATATCATCAACTAAAATTGCAATACGTTTTGTAACATCACCAACAAGTACCATACAATCAATTTCATTAGCACGTTTTCGTTCTTTATGAATAAGGGCAAAATCAATATTTAATCGATCAGCTATTGATGTTACACTATATATATATATAGGCAATACTATTCAATTGAACAAAAAAACAACAACAGAAAATTACCGTTTAGCACCTAAACAAAAAGAAAATTTATATGTTTATATTTTTCAAAATAAATGAATTAATTTTACCTCCAGCATCAGGACTGACAATAACAGCATTTTTAAAATCTGGAATATGTAAAGATATCCATCGAATAACAGCAGGTTCAGCAAAAAGATTATCAACAGGAATATCAAAAAAACCCTATATATTAAATTCTCTAAAAAAACTATTTCTATTAAATATAAAAATAAATATACTTGTATTTGAGAAGCATGTAAATCCATTGTTATAATATGATCAGCACCAGCTACACTCAACATATTTGCTACAAGTTTAGCTGAAATTGGTGCACGACTCTATATGTTAGAAAGAAAAAAAAAATAATTTTTTCTTTTTGTAAAAGAATTTTTTTTTTCACTATTACTTTATCTTTACGATCTTGTCGAGCATAAGGAAAACATGGAATAACAGCAGTAACTCGTGAAGCTGATGCTATTTTACATGCATTTATCATAATCAATAATTCCATTAGATTATCATTAATTTCTCCACAACCACTTTGAACAATAAATACATCTTCACCACGTACTGATTCATTAATTTCAACACTTTAATACATTAAAAACAAATATTTTTTTATTTTAGAAAATTAAATTTCTTTTGTTTTTTGATTATGAAAATTTTCTACCTTGTTTCTCGATTACTAAATTTTTTTGTTATAACTCTTCCTGGTTCTAAACCAAGTCGAGCACAAATTAATTTTGTTAATTCAGGATGAGATGAACCACCAAATACTTTTATATTAGGCATTCTTGAACACAATAATGGATGATTTATTAATGTTGTTGAATTATAAGATGAATCTTGACTAGAATCAGAAATCGTTCGTATTTTTAAATATGTTTCATTGTCATGATTAAATTGATTGTCATCTAGAAATTTTTATTATAATAATTAACACAATTCAATTTTTTTTTTGATTATATATTATTATATTAGTAAAGAAGAACAAAGAAGAAATTCATGTTTTCAATTATCATTAATAGCAAAGAAACAAAATATATATATATATATATATACTTACTTATTATTAGATGATGATTCTCTTCCATCTCGATAGAAGATATTATTGATTGTAGTAGTAGTAATAGTAGATGTAGTAATAAGAATGATCTTCATAGAGAGAAAAATAATAACAGGAAAACATATTTCTTTTAATCTGCGTAATTCACGTGCTATGTTTTTTCCTTTCCTTTCTATAAAATCTATTCTAATTCGATAATAAAATATAATAATGGAGAGAAAAAAAAATACAAAGATCGTAAAGTATAACATTATCTTTTTACTCTTCTTCTTTTCATTTATCAATCATAAAATCGAATAATATAATCATCAATTAAAAATAACGTATAAAATAAAATGTATTATGCTGTTATTTTCTCTCTTTTGACATATAATTTCTGAGCAATTCCAACGAGTATCAATTGACTTCTAGTACCAAAAACCAAAAAAAAAAGTCGCTTTCTTTCTTCTTCTACTCATCAGAGCAAAATCAGGTTTAACAGAAGGAAAATGTTAGTTATGTATAGTAAACACTCTAAGTCACCATCAGCACGTCTATATCTATGCAAGATATTCCTATTAGCAATGATAAGATCGACTTATTGACATACTAATGAAATACTATATATACAAAAAAAACAACCTAGTTATGTTATTTTCTCGACAAGCAAAAGGCAAGGAGGAACACGCCTTATGTTTCTTCGATTGGCAGCTCGAAAACAAAAAAAAATAGAGAGACCTTTATGATTAAATATTATTTGATTGGTCTTTTATAACAATTTGTTCTAGTATCGATAATAGTCTAGAAAATATAAAAATCTATCTAATCAAAGATTACAAATAAAAGAATATTTATTTAAAAAATTCTCTCAAATAATCAAAGATTCATATTAAATGAAATTTTACAAAAAATTCTTTATTTCTTCATCCTCTGCTAGGAGACTAATGATAGAGGGCGTTATTTATCGTCCAAAAAACCAAATTCTTTCATTCAAAATCTTTTCTATTCAGTGTCTATGTTTACCTATAAATAAATCATAAATTCAATGTCAAAATCGAGACCTACTCATACACTGATGATGAAACTCATTTTGAAAAGCTGATGTCTACAGCATATGAAGCATATTACTGATAGAGATTGTAACGAAAATGATGGATAGATTGTTTTGTTACTACTGCAATATTCAT